CCCCCCACCCCCCCCCCCCCCCCCCCCCCCCCCAGTGTCATCAGACCCTGGTGCTGGTCATCTAATTGGAACTTCCCAATCAAGCATGGATCACTACACAACATTGATTTTAAAGATCTGACACCACCAAACAATTCTATTACAAGAATTGTTTATCAAGCCAACAGATGTTTTCATGTTGGGATTGGGGGGAAGCCAGAAATTGATTTGTTGTGTTAATGGATGTTGTTATCAGTTTTTCGACAATTCGCCCGTCATGCCGGAAAGAATTCCCTCATTGGTTAAGTGATGCTGTTAAACTCTGCTCATTCCCATGTCTTAATCAATTGCCAAGTAAGTTAAACCGACCTTTGAGTAGTGTTATCATTCAACTCTTACTCTTTGCAATGCTTACTTTGTTTATCCACTATCTTTCATTTGTACAGCTCATTTCTTGTGGCTTAGGAGTCGTAGAAGAAATGCTTCTGCTAGAATACACTCAGAGTTTCCCCAATGGTTTAGCAATCAGGTCCATACTTTTTCCTATGTTTTGAGCAAGGTTATTGACGCTTTCTTTAAAAATGAATTTGGTATCTTTGTAGGTTTTTAATCAGGCCATTGACTCCAACGGTTAAGAGTTAAGACATCTCTCCAATTGGCCTTGGAGATGTGTGAAAGAATGTCACCCTTACTTCATCAATGGTTACAAATTCCTACACATGAATGGTTAAAGGGAAAGAAAACAATAAATGGTGGTGTGTACGTCAGGCCTTACACAGGGTTGTTATGATGATTTCTATGGCCATCATTCAAAATATATGATCTAGAGTACAACCGCACTACTTCGTCCAAACATAGTTTACTTTTATTGTGAATGGTTTGATCCTTCTAGAGCTGGTACTAAGTGGAATCCTAGGTTTAACATTGTCGAACTCAAACTTGAGAACCAAATATAGACCGTTTGATCCTTTTCATTCTTCCAACTAAGTCGACAGGCTTATTACGTGCCAATATCCACCATTCCGCAGTATAGACAAGCTGTTGGGCTGTAGCAGTACAACCAAGCCTGAGGTCGTCGTGACTCAAATGAGGTTGAGGAGGATGTTGCCTACCAACTTGACCAAATGTCACCACCCAACAATTAATTGAAGTAGAACTCTATAACCGCATTGGTCGACCACTTGATGGTGTGGAGATGAATAGAGCACCTGCACAAGGTGGTTGGTGATGATGATGATGATGATGAAGGAGAAGAAAAGAAGATGATGTGATGATGATGAAGCAGAAGAAGAAGAAGAAGATATGAGGATGATGATGAGATGATGATGAATGATTATGATGATTATGAGAAGATGAAGATGAAGATGAAGATCATGATGACGATGATTGAATTTTCGACTACTTAAATTTGTAGCAAATGAACTATCTGTGTCCAATTGAGTTATGGAAAATACAATATTTCATTTGTAGTCATCTTCGTTATTGTCATGCATGTAGTAATTTTTAAATTCACTTTAATTTAATAGTGATCCTTTCTTATTCTTTTCTATTGTTCACTTTATGTGTAAACAATGTCAAATGCAGCAATGACAGGACAAGGTTCAGATAACCGATAAAGGAAAAGGGGTAGCCAGGCCCTAAACAAAGGCAACGAAGCCCCAAAGTATGTTACTTAGGGTGCCTATTACACTACCTACCCCTACAGTACAACTCCTCTCTCCTGCAGTGACACCCTCCTTCTCCTACCCTTCAGTACAGCCTCCTCCTCCTACCCCTTGTTGTAACACCCTCCTGCTCCTACCCATGCAGAAGAGCCTCGCCTCCACCTGTGATTATTATTCCCACTCCTCCCCCTGTCATTATTACCCCCCTCCCCCCTTAGTTGATTACCCCCACCCTCCCCTGACCCTACTTCTATAGCTTCCCCTCATCTTCTACACCGCCTTCAGCTGGTGATGCTGAAGATGTTGACCCGCCTTTCCATGATCGACCATGGATTGAGCCATATGGAAAAGGTAAATACTTTAAATCCCAGTTTTAACTTGATTGATGTTTAAACTTTCTTTACTGAATGACTTTTATTATTTATATGAAGTTTATTCCCCTCCAGAGTTGCTTCCCAGGCCATAACACGTCATTAAGGCAACATGTATTTGACTCCATGGCCTACTTGGGGACCATACCTATGACGACATAAAGCCATTCTGGAGCGTTAAGGTCCAGACACTTTTAAATTAATTATCATTCCTATCTTACCAGGTCTTAATCAATGTTTGTTTTGTTTCATCATTACAGAAGCAGGTGGCAGTGGAAAGCTGAGCTGAAAGGGTTCAAATTCATAGAACTTTTCAACATGAAAGCAGCTCATCGTCTCTCAGAGTTTTAGGTGATGCCAGGATGCAGGGAGCGCCCTGACTGGATGGGCGAAATTCTGTGGAACTCTTTGCTTGCACAATTGGCAACACATCTAGTTTGCGTAGAATCGGCTACAAACCAGAATAATAGATCGTCTTAAAGGGGTGTGCCTTGCCCTACTGGTTGGGTCGATCCGATTCCCGAGCATGCCATTCGTATGGTAATCTCTTCAAGCCTGTCCTCTGTCCAGATTTTCTTGGTCTCCTTAAGCATTGTGCAAGTATGTTTGATGTTGATAAGCATTGCTAAAGGTGAAAAAAAAAGCAACTCATATTAATCACTTAATTGCAAAATGAGTGGTTGAGTTCATCATAAACTTATTCAAATTGATGATAAAAGTTTCCCCAACCATCAAATAATGTTTGCAAACGTGTTTATGCAGAATGACCCATTAAACCACCAAATTTTGCCTAAATGTGGAAGTGAACTTGTGATTTTCTGCTGCATTGTGTCCCTTGACAGTCCTTAGGCTTAAACATTTCAATTTGATGGTTTACAGTTTTAGCACTGTTCGTTGGTCTTTCTCCAGACCACTGCAAAACACAAAAAATCAACCTTTTGAACCATCACTTTGCTTAAATTTTCACTGCACACCTCGTATTGACAGCTGACTGTTTTGGTTGTGTTTTCATTGCTTATTGATCATTTTTTGGTGAATTGAACGTTGTTTTCCCTATTGTTCATATGGTCAATTTTGATCCAAACCAAAATATACTTGCTCTGACGCAAATTTTCGTCACTTTACAAGTGCCAACGAAATTCTGCGTAATTTTCTTGGTTGTTTCCTGCTTCTACATGTTCAATATGATGATAAAACTTCCTTTAGGTGTCATTTGATCCCTAAAACCACTGCCCTCATTTTGACCACTGAAACCATCATCTTTCTACTCAATTTGCTGCTGCAGTGGGGGTACATTTTAGTTGCTGTTTGGTTTTAGTCACATTAAATTCAATTTGGATTGGAAAAAGCTTTGGGTTTATCTCCTTTGGTTTCCACATTAAATATTGGATTCCATGTTAAGTCTAAATTATGTTACAGGCACAAGCTCTTGGACGAGCGGTCCATGTTGACGATGTCTTTGCACAGACCCATGTTCGGAAGGGCACTAATGAATTCGTTGATGAAAGGTCTCGCAAGACTCATGTAAGGAAATAGCACTCCTAGTATTAAGTAATCACATGAATTATGGTTATCTTCATCATTCTCTGCATTGTCGTTTATTGTTTGAACAGGAAATTTTTTCTAGGAGACTTTCACAGGTTGATCCGAACATGGTCAGCTCCTACCCGGATGATACTAGTAATACAGATGACGACATCCGTAGACACAGTGCTGGGGTCGATGTCGTTGGTGGGAAGAAAAGGGACGATTCTACGGTGCAGACAACTTGCCTGCAAACTATACAGCATCGCAAGGAGGTAACACTGAAGCATCACCTTCTTCTCCACCTCTTCTCGTGCTGACGAGGCCTCCAGCCCGCTTGACACAGCTATTGGACCAACTGACCAGTGAAAACCGTGCATTGAGAGAGAATATAGTGACTTGAGAGATGAGTTCTCAAGCTTCACGACCCTGGTCATGATAGCGCTGCTCAAACTTCAGACACTCCTTCCATTACCCTCCGACCCGCCCGACCCTCCCCTGTCACCGCCGTCCCTCATCAGCCCACACCAAGTCCATCCCACACCTTCCGCCCCACACCAGTCCAGCCATCTACAGATTACCAGAGGATGAACATCTTTCTGAAGACTATGTAGATGTGTAGTTTCATTTGTTATTGCTCATAGTACATTTAAATGGTTATTCTTCTATTGTTCGAATATCTTGCTGTTAGTACATTATGATAACAATGTTATAGTAACCTTATGCTTTTCCATCAATGACTACAATTTTTGGGGGAATGGACAATATATATGCAGGTCTGTTTGTTTGTATATTGAAACTGTTATACAGTCTGTGTGTTTTGAATATGATATGGCAGGTATGTGTGGTAGAACATCAAACAATTAAACCCTCCTATATTTCTCTGCACCGTACCGAGGCTTTTACCCAGGGCCTCCGCCCTTCGGTTAATTACCGAAGGCCCATAAGCCTTCGTTAATTACCGAAGGCTTACGGCCTTCGGTAATTACCGAAGGCTTATGGCCTCGGTAATTAATCCCGAAGGCTTATGGCCTTCTGTCAATTACCGAAGGGCGTAAGCTTCGGTATGTTACCGACAGGGGGTTTACCGAGGGAACTAAAATAAATTTTGTCCGTCGCGCAGGCCGTCGATAAATGGACCTAAATAAATACCCGAAGCTTTTGGCGATTTTCGAAGGATTTATGTCTACCAAACTTCGGTATGCCCTTCATTACTGTAGTGTGTAATTAATATTTATAGGTGGTTTGAAGTATAATATGTCTGATAAACTATAAATCATGTTAAAATTTATATATTGTACATTTTAATAAGTAATTTAGGAATTGAATGTTACCAATAATTGATATCATAAAGTAATCTGAGAGTTAGCTTCTGTTTATGGTTCAATTTACTATTTTTTAATTTGATTAATTTATACAAGATATCATGTTCAAATTTACTTGTCCTACAGAAAATATAAAACAAGGCATTGGTATTGTTATTGTAATTTTATTATATCTGGCTCCCTGCAAATATCTACCATAAAACGACAAGGCCTAAGGGAGCTTTTGCTACAAGAATTTCGTGGGTTTGATTTGAGTTCAGCCCATAATTCAATCTTTTCGTTGACCACGCTGACATGCTTTCTTGATTACTTTCAGGGCTTCAAAGCCCGCATAATTTTTTTCTAATTTGGGCTTCCAAAATAAAAATAAATTTAGACACCTTTCAGTTAAGATTTTGCGATATTGGTCTTATTGCCAACAGCATACTTGTTTTTTCTATTGTTATTTGACTTAAATATATAATCCTCATAATTTAGTCAATGTAAAATTGTGTTCTGTATAAAAGTTTAACATCACATTTAATTCTCTAAATTTCTAAACTTAAATAATTTGAATTCATTATAATATGTTATTTAATTAATAAAATATCTTTCGTGATAATAATAAATAAAACTTATTACTAAGCGTTGCAATTTATATTTTGTATAAACAATTAATGAACATTCAAAAATTGTAGTATATAACTGTTGTCATAGTATTATTGTAGAATTTGAAAACATACAGAATGTCATCTTTGGCAACATACCACAAAGATCCAGCTAAGAAAATGCTTCATATGTAAGAGATATACGAGTCACAGCATGACCTCAGTTAATGAGAAGAAAAAAATAAAAACAAAAACCACTATAGTATAGCTCAATCATCGTTGTCTGTTATTCCATAACAGTCACCAAGGTTTGTTTGTTCCTCCCACTTGTCTTTCTCTTTATAAATATCATTATCTGAGGCAGTTTTCATCTTCCATCATCTTCTTGACCATTGCTTATTTCTTTTATCTATGCATGTTTTATTTTTTCTTCTTAAAATATATTTCCTTTTGAAAATTCTTTTGCAGGATTTCTCACAAGTTTTCTTTCGCAGTGATCTAATGGTATGATCGAAATATAACGCAATGAATATTGCGACATTTGGGTCAATGTTATAGTACACAGAGAAAGTAAATTAATTATACTCATTCCAAATTTAAAGTATGATAAAAACGCTAACAATGATGAAGATTGTAAAAAACATAAAAATACACTGATAGATACTTTTAATGCCAGAACAAGTTAACAATATTGTTGTGATCTCTGCACTAAAAGAAATTAATTTCATTTAACTTTAGTTGTTGATTAGGAAAGTTTATATAATGTGTAATCTAATCAAATGTTTATTTGAAAATTGAAATGTTTACTCAAATATGAAACATTGAATACCTACCTATTAAGCAGCAGCAAAAGCTTAAACTGAAAGTATGTATGGAAGCCATAGCAGGTTTGCAATGA